TATATATATATATATATATATATATATATATATATATATATATATATATATATAGGTATGGATGGATGGATGAATTAATGTCAAGTTAAGCACGACTCGAGATGGATTTTCATGACAATTTTAAGTATTTTTAGGCGGGTTGCATCAAAGAAACTGTCTGCACAGACAAATTTGGATTGAGACTTTAGGCCATACCTCAAGAAGGTGTTGACAGATTGCAGAGATTTTTTTACATAATCACGTGATAATTATGCAAATGTATGGAGCTTGTTTTCAAGATCAGTAAGGAAATGCTGGAATCAGTGTCTACTTTTGCATAATTATTGAAATTCTATAATCTACTTTTTTTCGAAAAAAGGAAACACTTGTGACATAATTTATGTAAGAGAGAACGACAAGAACATTGGCAGATGTCTATTCTGTTATTGAAGACCTAATTTGCATAATAAAATGACAAATTGCTACAATTCTATAGTGGGAACTGCTAGTCTCGGACCGGAGTTTCCTTCCGTGTTCCTAGCAATTTGACAGCATCAGGCCGATGTGCTGGCATTTCTGTAATGGTTCGGAATTTTTCACTCTTTTGGTTGAAAGGGCTGTCATGCCGCTTATTAATACTCTCGATTGATATTTTGTGCGCCCAATTTAATTAGGGTTAAATAAGGCACATCAAAGTACATTTTTAACTAATCGGTCCCAAAATTGTGTCTTCCGTGTGACTGTTGATTCACGCCGGGATAATCAAGCAATGGGTCTATCTCTTCTGCTCGGGTCCTCTTTTGTCTCTTCTTCTATCATTGGTACCGGTCGGTCAATCTAAGCAACTGAAACCTACTGTCCCCCTTTGCTATATCAAAAATATTTTTTACTCTGACTCTGTCTTTTAGGAACTGTCCCAGCTGTCCGACACTCTTGGCGCCTTGAAACGCGACGTAGACGGCATATCCCGACTGTCCGCTACCGTCGACGGCTTGAAACGCAACATGGACGGACTATCCCGACTGTCCGACACTGTCGACGCCTTAAAACGCAACATGGACAACGAGCGAAACTCCACAGCTGCAAAGATGGCCTGTCTTGGTGAGAAAGGTCAGATACTTACATGTATTTAATACTGGTAGGATGCTACTCAATAAAGTAAACTTTCAACCCTATCTGGACTGTGGTGGGGATGCTAATGTACTTCTAAATGCGGCAAGTGTAAAATCCATGACACTCACTACTATGAAATGATAGCAAGTTCCCATTAACTATATATAACTACTATGAAATGATAGCAAATTCACATTTACCATATTCAGACGAGGGGGGGGGGCTTTTGAGGCCCGCGCCAACTTTCATCTCGGCTAGCGCCGGAACGGATTGCGCTAGGACCAGCAAATTTGGTGACCTCGTTTAAAAAAAATGTTTGGAAACAATTAGTGGGATAAGTTTTTCTTGTTGCTATGCCAATGTATTTCTGTATTGTTTTTTTTTTAATTTAGCAATTTTGGGATTAAACTTCCTAACAATAACAACATGTTGTGTATTTTTATGATGTGTAATATCCATCCTTGAAAATGTTTAATTTGATTACGTCATTGGTTAGCTCTGCTATGTTTAGATTTTTTTACTAAAATTTACAACTTCGCATATTTGACATCAATTGTTCTTGTTAACATCTTTAGTCCAGTTGCATTGTGTTTTGCGGCTGTATCTTGAAGAATAGTATTTTCAAAATTTCAAGATCGACGTTCCAAGATGGCGGTTAGCTTGACTATGTATGACGTAAGAGTCTTTGTAGACATTAATATTCAATCATATGATAAATTATGGTACGTTTTGTTGTGTACCATTGATTTTTAAGGAAAATCCTAAGTTGAAAATTGTCGACAAAACATCACATAGACACCAAAGTTGTTTCTTGTGATTTATTTCACTACATGTAGTACACCATTCTCTAAAAAAATGTTATCATAAGACACAATGGGTTACAGGAGCGGGCCACTAAGCCTTCACGTCCCAGCATGACCAACAAGAGTTCCACGATCTTATACCTTCGCCAAATGATGTTAACCCTTCCGGTTGACAAATTATACAATGATCTTAATCATTGATTTTGCAAATAAGAGCGCCATTTGCATGTATTATATCAGTTGATCATATTGTCCACCCAATGGCAGCGTTATCTTAACAAAAAAGGCTATTGTAGCACTTCTTCATATATTATGCAAATTAGGTCATGATTTAAATAAATTATGTTTATTGATGTTCACCTTCACTTAACTTCCAAATGTGGCAGGTATGAAATTTCCATCAGTTACAACAATGAAATTATAACAATTTTCCATTAACTTTGCAAATTAGGTCTTCATTTACATAATCTATTGTGTTTTTCTCGCTCTCAATTACACGTCACATGTGTCTCATCGTCCTATCATCGAACGAAGCAGATTTATAGAATTTCCTCATTAATTATGCAAATTAGCTCCTGATTTGCATACCTGTGATCTGATTATGTCAAGCATCACTTTAGCTACCTACACACCAAAATATAATCCGTCAACCTGTTCTTGAGTTATACTCCTTCTAAGATTTTTCAACTAACGCTCCTGCAGTTCCAGAACAAGCTGCTAGGCGACCCATCCTCACGTCAGTTCTTCCCTAGCCCAATTTCGAGCTACCTACCACTCAAAATTTGTGAACCTAGCATGTCCAGATCACGAGCTATCAAAACCGGAAGTTCTGCTGCAGTACCAACACAAGCCACCAGGGGTCCCAAAATCTAATCATCTCTAGGTCCCATCAAGACCTACCTACCTACTAACTTTCATGACAATCCATTTAAAGGTTCCTGAGATATCTTGCTAAACACACACACACACACACACACACACACACACACACACAAACGCTACTGAAAACATAACCTTTTTGGCGAAGGTAATAAAGAGACCTGGTCCGAAGTTGGCGCGGGCCACAAGACTAATCTTCCTGTTGCATACATTCTGCAATTCATGCAGGAACCGCACATTGTGGCATAGTATGATTTACCTTTCATCTATAGCCATCCCAGTGCACTACTCCGGCTGTAAGAATCCTGCCATACTCAAAGGAAACTCCGGTAGTTTTACCTCCCCTGGTTACCCGAACAACTACAATAACAACGCCCGGTGTTCCTGGACGATAACTGTCAGCAGTGGAAGGCGGGCCGCCATCAGGTAAGGCCCTGTCACACATTCAGAACCTTCCCCTGACCACTAGTCGACTTTCCCTGAACACTAGCCAACCACAAAAGTAGCTAACCATGGCCGAAACTCTCGTCCACACTGCAATATTTTAAACACTTTGAAGCATCCTTCTGGCACAGCCAAACAGTAGCTAACCTCGCCGACCACCAGCCAACCACAGCCAACTTTATTCTTGCTCCCGAGCCACTCCAAACCCCTAACCATAGTTGTGTTTAGCGAGTTCGGGGGTGGGAATGGGGTATTCAACTATGTGTAACAGTGGCTTTAGTCCTCAAAAGTTACGAGTAATCCCGCTGTCTTCCGGTGCGTTACCTTATACACACCATGTTACAGTGTTAAATAGAAGGTACGTGCTATTCGGAAGTTATGTAAACTTTAGCCAGTCATTTTGGCATTTAATAGCTTTTGATGACAGTTGTCTCTTTAAGTTAACCCTAAACAGTACAGCCGTGGTCCGCGCGGACCACAGCACTATATATTCTGTAATATCTTTTTGTTCTCCTGCAGGTTTATAAGTTTGGACTTGGAAAAACATCCTGACTGTAATTATGACTCCGTGACGGTGTATGATGGCCTCACCTCCAGCGGCAAACAACTCGGCAAGTTCTGCGGCACCAAGGGCCGGGACGTCGTGGCCAGTGGGAGGACCGCCCACATTATCTTCACATCCGACGCTGCCAAAACCCGTACCGGATTTTCCATTAAATTTTCAGGTAAGCAAAGTACCCTGGTCAACCAAACTACCACTTTATGGTAGTTCTGAAGATAAAACGATTCAGTAACGTATGTCTTCCACCTTACGAAAAATTTACAGCAACAATTTCTTTTCCCGGACTGCACACACACGATGTGAAAATGTATGGCAATTCAGTCACTCCAAGGGTACCCAATCATAACAAGTATAAGCTTTCTGACCAAAGATACATTTCGCTATTTTGTTGGCACCAAAACTTGAGCAGTCGGTTCATATTCCTTTCCATACACCTTTACCAGGCGGTTCTGACACGCTTAGACGATTACAATCGCTAAGCAGGGCCGCTGCTTAGTCGAGTCTGTCGACTAAGCACCGTAGTCTCATGGACCAGCCTACGCGCTTAGCGACAAAATCACATCATTAAGCTAAGCGGATCTAGAGCGGCAGGAGCCGCGAAGCCTCACGGGATCGGGGTCCGGGTCACCGCAGCGGCCAGGTCACGGCCCGGCATACAGCCGACCGTTCTGTACACAGTACGTCTGGAAACTTCGCTACGCCACGCATATATACATTCTACGTCAACTATTTTACAGGTAAGTGTTGCTCCAGGTTATGATTTCAACTTGGGCTGACATGGGATTCGGAAAAAGCTCAAACAGTAACTAAACTTGGCTGTTAAAAATGATATATAATAAATGGGGGAGGGGGGCAAAAGTCAGGTTTGAATGAGGGTACGGCTTTGCGAAAATCTGAACTAGGAACTAACGGTAAGGGAGGGTCTGAGCTAATCTACGAAAAGGAACTATAGGGAGGGCTTGATTCCGAGCAAATCTGCACAAGGAACTAGCAGAGCCCGACACACTCTTCTCTGCAGGTAACATTGAAAATTGGAATTACCGCACAGCTCCAAATTATCTGGATACTAGATAAAAGGGCCACACAGATATTACCTGTGCGGTGCCTTACCTGGTCCCCAGATAAAAGGCTGACACAGATATTACCTGTACAGAGCCATATCTGGATACCAGATGAAAGGGCCACACAGATTTACCTGCACAATGCTTACCTGGTCCCCAGATAAAGGCTGACACAGATATTACCTGTACAGAGCCTTATCTGGATACCAGATGAAAGGGCCACACAGATTTTACCTGCACGGTGCCTTACCTGGTCCCCAGCTGAAAGGCTGATACACTATATTACCTGTATGGTGCCTTACCTGCATACCAGATGAAAGGGCCACACAAATATTACCTGTATGGAGCCTTACCTGGCACCGTCTACCTGGTCCTGGATACCAGATGAAAGGGTCACACAGATATTACCTTACCTGGTTCACATATGAAAGGGCTACACAAATACAAAACATACTAGTATTATATAATTACCTGCACGGTACCTTACCTGGTTCACAGACAAAAAGGTCATATTATTACCTGTTCTGTGCACAATTCACCTGCACCAAACCTGCACTGGCCCATGTACTACTACTACTACTACTACTAGTAGCTTTATATAAAAATGTAGGCATATTTGAATTTTTAGTTGCTGCATGACTGTTAAACCATGTGTTAAGTTTAAAAAG